TTTTATATAAACTAATAATTAAAAAATTATTAATTATACACTTAATCTTTTTAAGAAACATCCTTATATAAAGGCTTTAAAAGATATTTTAAAGAAAACCGTTGAACTTCGAAGCCTACGGCATTTCTCAACGAGAACAAGCAAACAAGGCGCTTTCAGTCCTTGCCTTGGTTCTATACTCTCTGTTCTTTCTCCTTCAAACCCCCATTCACTGACACTTCAGAATCCCCAAACAGCCAAATAATAACGAAATTTCCAAGGTTTGTTTTCTGCTGCCAATTACAGGAATCAAGTTCTGTGTCTAAGTCGCAATTGTGATTCTTTTTACTGATTTTTACGTCTTGATTCCATCAGTTTCCGATCAGTTCTCTGTGTTTGGGATGGGGAAGAAGAAGGTGATGTTGCCGGCTGACCAAATCGACTGGTCTAGCGTCGAATACGAGCCTGAGGTGATCCAAGGTCCGTCTCTGTCCTGCAACTCTGTATGGAAATCCGCGGTGGTTTTGATCATCGATTTGGAATCTGACTCGTTTTCTGTTCGTTTTTTCAGCCCCGCATTTGACCGGATTGACGTTCAAGTTGTTTGTGAGGACAGTTGAAGCGCCGATTATCGGTTCTTTGATCATATCATACTTGAAGAAGCAGAATAAGATAGTTGAGGTCTGTTTTTCTGCAATTCTGCTAATTGAAATCGCAGTTTTTTCTTTCTCTTTTTTTTTTTTTTTGGGTTCCAAGGAGCTAATATCATTTTTGTAATTTGCAGATGTTGCGGAACACTGTTATACCAGAACCGCCAATGTTTAAGCCTGAGTTTCCTCCGCAAGGTTCCTTTTTTTTTTTTTTTTTCTTCTTGCTTGCTGTATTTTTTTTCCTACTTATTTGTTAGGTAAATGCAATTTTGGAGGAAAATGAAAAATAAATAAAAGAAGTTATGCTAATGGTAGTTTGTCTACTTCTGATTTAAAGGTAAAAATATTCATTTATTTTTCTTCATAAATATCTGCTTATGAAGTGATTTTCAATGAGAGTAGTTGCAATGTTTAGATAAATTTGTATAGTTGAGAAGGAAAATGAAACTTGGGCAGGTAAAATATGCATCTTATTCTCACTTTTGTTATATTGTATCACTAAAGAACCAAGCTTAAAGTTATTACTATGATGTGAAACCAGAAGCGGAACAAGGCGTTATAGTTGTAGATGAAGATGGTAAACCTGAAGACCGGGTTGAAGCAGCTTTTAAGTGTCTTCCACATTACGATCCTGCTAGGTGCTGGAGTGGGGATTCCAGTCCATTCCGCTACTGGAAGATTCGTGATTATGCCTATGCCTATCGGTCCAAGCTTACAACTCCTTCTGTGGTAAATCTCAGTTGACTGTTTGGAACTTAATTCTATACATTTAAATTGGAAAAGAAAATAAACATTTTTGGTTTTATAGGTTGCAGAACACATCATCTCAGTTATAGAGGAGTTTAACTATCACAAGCCCCCAACACCATTGTTGGTTTCTTTTAATGCTGAGGAAATAAGAAAGCAAGCTGCAGCTTCTACACGCAGGTTTGAGGAAGGTATTGCTACATTATCTGCTTAAATATGTTTATGTGTTTTCACTTATAGAGGATGCATCAAATAAATTTCACCCATATAGATTAGACTCCTATAATCACCTAAAGGAGCTGTTGCCCTGAGTCATGCAGGAAATCCACTGTCAATCTTGGATGGGATTTTCATTGCAATCAAGGATGACATAGATTGCTACCCACATCCATCAAAGGGTAAACATATTGATCCTGTCATTTTTAACTAAAGTTTCCTTAAATATGTCACTGAAAGAAGCAAAAAGGAAAAATGCTTGGAGTTAAATTCTGACAGGAGCAACTACATGGATGCATGAGGTTCGTTCTGTTGACAAGGATGCAGTTTCTGTCTCAAGACTGCGAAGCTGTGGAGTGGTTTTTATAGGAAAGGCAAATATGCATGAGTTAGGCATGGGTACAACTGGAAACAATCCAAATTATGGGTAAATTTGTTGCATGGCAGACATATTATAGACTTCCTGGAAATGATATTCCATTCAGATGCTTTCTTATAAATCCTAGTTTTCCTTTCAGTGTGAAGCAATTACCTCAACTACCTTCTAGATCATATCTTGTTTATTTGTTGATATTTTATTGATATACCATGTACCAGAACAACAAGAAACCCTCATGCACCTGAAAGGTATACGGGTGGATCCTCCTCAGGCCCAGCAGCACTTGTAGCTTCTGGAATATGTTCTGCTGCCCTTGGAACAGATGGTGGAGGTTGTACAAATTTACATTTTTGGACCTTGCTCCAATTCTTTTTTATTTTCTGCTTATTGATGATCTACCCTTTAACGGAAAAGGCAGGTTCTGTCCGCATTCCTTCATCTCTTTGTGGTGTAGTGGGCTTAAAGACAACTTATGGACGGACAGATATGCGAGGGTAAGCTCATTTTGTGTGCCAAACTTCTATAAGTTACTGGTACTGTCTACTATGTAGAGTTTTCTGAAAGTGGAACCACATATTTTACTGTGTCCTCATGATATCTGAATTGTCAAATATCTCTTGGGATCTACTTACAGTAGGCCATTTCAATGTCCAATCTTGTAGTTTATCTTGGTAATTTATTGAATTTACATTTAACCTTGGAGCCACAATGTTGCTGATAAATTATAATCATCTTAATGTTTGGATTAAAGGGACCTACAAGGTTGGATGTTGGAGCATGATTTTCCAAATGCATTTCATTTAGATGGTAACAACTAAAAACCATCACGGATCTCAAGAATTAAATAAAAGATGATATCAACATTTTCCAGAGATGACATGTCACTACTTACTAGAATCCTTATGTGTTGTGTATGACTGGACTTGGGTAGTTGGAAATTTTCAACTGCATTGTGAATTATGGTGATGGTATAACCATTGCATGTTTGAAATTCTTGATCTATAGGTCACTTTGTGATTCGGGGACTGTGGAAATCATTGGACCAATAGCGTCATCTGTGGAAGATGTCATGCTGGTGTAAGAATCTCATGCTTGTTAATGGTTTTTCAGTTATATATCATACAAAAAACTCATCTGATCTATAAGCTGTTCAATGGCACACACAGACATTTGCATTATAGTTTCAATTTTAAAGGCTGTTCAATGCAGTTCCTAGCTACAATTCTTGCCTAAACTTGCCACTCAAATGTTGCTAAGTCTACTTGGAATTGATATGTATCTGCTTTCCTATGCATATCTCAAGACTTTCAGTCTTACATGACATCAATTGCAACTTTCATGAATTCAGTTGAAGTAATTACATGGATCAGATGCATAACCTTTTATTAACAGCTTTAACTCTTTGAAAGAATTTTCTAATCCCCCAAATTTCATGTCTTGTTTGAGTCTCATAAATGATTAATGACAATGAGATGTTGAGTTTTATGATTACTTATCAGAAAATAAAGGCCAACTTTCTATTTTTCGTTTTCTTAATCTTCTTATGTATGCTGATGGGTTTTCAAGGTATGCGGCAATTTTGGGCTCCTCTCCTGCAGATAGAATCTGCCTTAAACCGGTAACTGTGAGATCATTATTAATTAGCAAACAGCCACAAAGAGTTATATTTTTCTTAGTTAATCATGCTTGAAGTTACTTCAATTTGTTGAGATTTGTAATTTCCACCATTTTTTTTTTCTTTTTCTTTTTTCAGTCTCCCCCTTGTTTGCCAAACTTATCATCACCTTGCTATGAAAATGCTCTGGGATCATTGCGACTGGGGAAATACACAGCGGTGGTTATACTGTCCTTTTCTAGTGGAACTGGATTCAAATTAATGTTCTTTGAACTGAATTATATTTTCTGTTTATGTAGTGTCCTTGAAACTGAATATTGTTTTCTTTGTATGCGGTTCCGACCTGCAGTGGTTTAATGATGTATTTTCGACTGATATCTCTGATAAATGTGAAGATATTCTTAGGAACCTGTCAAAAACCCATGGGTGTGAAGTAAGTCCCTCAATACTTATGTGCTCCAGTATGTTTTGCTATTCTAAGTAATTAACATTAGCATTAGCACACTCCTGTTTTACTGAGTACTGCATATTCACTTTTTTTGTTTAAGACTGTAGAGATAGTAATTCCTGAACTGCGTGAGATGCGCACTGCTCATATTGTTTCAATTGGATCTGAGGTAGCATGTTCGCTAAATCCTGATTGTGATGATGGGTATGTTTCTTTGCCTTTTAGAGAATATCCCCATATCAATTCTTGTAGCAACAGTAAGACTGGGTAGTGTCCACATGATGATTAAAACTATTAGTATTTATCTGAATTTATGGACTTTATTAAATTTTGGACCAAAAATGGTTGCCTATCCCTTCTCTAATATTGCAGGAAACATGTGAGATTAACATATGATACTCGTACAAGTCTGGCACTTTTCCGATCATTCACTGCATCAGATTATGTTGCTGCTCAATGTCTTAGGTAATGCAAAGTTGATTCAGAACTTTGCTTTCCAGATGTGTGTTCATGGATATGAAAACTTAAAACAATATTTCAGTTAAAGCTTCTGACTAGACTGCATGCTTCGAAAAATTATTAGCAATGGTCAAGAAACATAGGCCTTCAGCCTTATTTTGTATTTTATAGTGATTAAAAGTGAATGATACAGCTATTTCCTTGTAGATTATTGACTTTGTGGCGAGGAGTCATCCATTTTGCGTATCTTGACTGACAAAGAGGATATATAGGATGGAGAAAATTAATATTTTTAAGGATGGTCTTGTTGTTTTTGGTGATGAGTGATGACAATGAGAAAAATGCTCATTTTTTGTACAACCCTATGTATTTCTAAAGAGCTTGTTCAAGATGAATTCATTTTACTTGCAATGACTGGAATTCCATGATTTCTTTAAATCAAATCTTGTGAAGGCTTGTTTCCTTCATAGGTGCTCTTTGTGTGTTTGTCTTTTCTTCTGCACTTTTATTGTCTGATATTAAGTGCAACTTTGTAGGTCAATAAAACTTGTTCATGATATATCATTGTTAATGCATGTCTACTGGATTCAGGGCATGTATTAGAGTCCAGATATGTGTTACTTAACTGATATATTTCCTTTCTAATTGAAGCTAGGTTAATAAATAATCAGTAATATGCCAGCTGGGCTTGCGTCGGTTGGTATGGGGGAATTTGAAATCTTAGGGACAATGCATAATGTTGTCATGTGCCAAAAACAAATTACCACCTGGGCTCCTTTTCTCTAAAAGGAAACTTGGAGGATGACCTAGACTGGTGAACATCAATAGCAAGATAGCAACTTAGGCTTTGTTTGACAACACTTCTCAGTGCTTTAT